GGGGGGGGGCGGTGGCAGAGCTGGGGCGCAGGGCAGGGTGAGGCCGGGCTGGCCTCTCTCCAGGCCTCTCTGCCCCTGGCTGGGACTCCCCCCTTGGTCCCATCCAGCTGATGGGTGCTTTCTTTCGGGTTGTAGGTGGCATTCTCGGAGCTGTCTTCAATGCCTTGAATTACTGGCTGACAATGTTTCGAATCAGGTGAGAAAGCCACTCCATTTTTATGAATGGAATTGACATCTGGCCTTAGGGACCCTCAACAATGGGTTTGGGATTTGGAACCACACCCAGTAGAGCTTGATTTGAGCCTAACAGACAAGTTGGGAACATGCTATCTGGTCTGCTAGAGGGCCAAGCCAGATGACAGAGGTGTCTCCGGAGAGAACCAGGGCTCCTCCCCTCGGCCTCTGCCGGGCACCGGCTCTGTCCACCCTGCCTGCTAGCCCTGTTGTTAGGTGTGTTGATGGAGTGGCAGCTGCTCCTATCCTTGTGCAGTTCTGGCCACTGTGAGTGCCGTCACTGTGGGAGAGAGATGCTCCCAGGATGGTCTGCAGTGTGCGGAGACCTGACCGTGAAACCTGTGGTGTGTCACTCTCCCAGCAGTGGTTCTGGTGCAGGCTGCCGTGACAGCCGCGGTGGGCGTGATGGTGGGGCTGCAGGGGCCGTCTCTGCAGTGAGGTGCATCCTGGCTTTGGGCTCTAGGTACATCCACCGGCCCTGCCTCCAGGTGATTGAGGCCATACTGGTGGCCGCTGTCACAGCCACGGTCGCCTTTGTGCTGATTTACTCGTCCCGGGATTGCCAGCCCCTGCAGGGAAGTTCCATGTCCTACCCGCTCCAGGTAGGCGTGGGGCCCTGTGGGCGAGCACCCTGAGCAGGCCAGGTGGTCTTTGCTCACATCCTGCTTAGGCATGAGGGCTGTCGGACACATCCTGGCTCCAGTTGAGTGTGCCAGTGTGCCTGTGTCGCCCAGCAAGTCCCAGAAAGGCAGAGGCTGGCTGCAGGGCACCAGGGAACAGGTGGCAGTGCCAGGGCTACCACCACAATCCTCTTTCCAGAACAGCCCCTGGTGAGAGCCTCAGAAAGGGGCCTTGAGGCTGCTCACCTGGGCGTGCACACACTGTGGGCGTGGCACACACACATCTTCCACAGATGTTTGAGTCCATTTGTTGATGGGCGTCCCAGAGTGAGAACTGTCCTGGCGCCCAGACAGAGGAGGTGACCTTGCTTGCTGGGCAGTCAGCAGCCACAATCAGGACAGAACAGTGATGTGCTGTGGCCCCGAGCCCCCGGACCCTGGCGACACAGCTCTGCATCCCAGCCCCCCTCTCCTGTGCTCTGCTCCTGCAGCTCTTCTGTGCGGATGGCGAGTACAACTCCATGGCTGCGGCCTTCTTCAACACCCCTGAGAAGAGCGTGGTCAGCCTCTTCCACGACCCACCAGGTGTGTGCAGGCAGTGCGGCTAGGCTGCGGTCCCCATCTGGAGGACTTGACCCTGGCATGGTAGGGTGCACTGAGCCAGCGTTAGTGGGCAGAGTTGGGGTGGTGAGACTGAAAGCGCTGTAGGGTCCACAGCTGCTGGTAGCGAAACGCTAGAGCAGGGCTGGCTGTGGTCCCCCCACCTCCTTCCTGCCTTAGACACTGGGTCAGCGCCACCGCTCAGCCAGAGCCTAGCGGCTCTGTGCCGGGCCTTGCCCTCCCCCAGACACTTCTGACATGGAACCTGCGCCAGAGTAGAGCCTTTAGCACAGGCTGGGCCTGCGCCTGGCTTTGGCCCGCTTTCCCATGTGTCTCGTGGGGACACTGCTTTTCATCGTTTGCCTGACAAGGCCACCAGGAGCTTCCCTGTCTCTAGATCTGCCCCTGGGAGGGGTTCAGGAAATGGAGCAGATCAAGGGCTTGGAATTCACGTGTGGCTCTGGGGCCTGGCCCTTCTGATCTCCGGCCTGTGCCATAGTACCTTTGCCACACAGACGGACCGCCCCAGCCTGCTGTCGACCTCTGTGTTGGTCATTGTGGCCTTCCCCCTTCTTCGCCTCATTTCCCTGGCTTCTCATCCTGGAAGAGCAACCAGGAGTTAGTGTTCAGCCACTGGGGATCACAGTGGCCATCTCCAGGCCCGGCCGTGCTGCACACTTCCAAGAAGTGACATCTCCATGCCCTTTGCCTGTGTGGCCTGCAGAGCTCACCTCTGCCACCCACTGCCGCCAGGAGGATGGTCCACTGACCACTGACCTCCACCGGCCTCCTTAGCCCAGGCCTTGCTCTGGCTTCAGAGAGGCCTCCTCCTTCACTTGGTCCTCTGAGGCCAGACTGATGTACAGCAGGCCCAGCAGCTCGGCTGTTCCCCGCAGGGGTGTGTGATACATCCTTGTCCCCAGAGCGCCCTCCAGGCTGTGGATCTGCTGCAGGCCGGGGCTGCCTGGGGACTCCGTGCCTGTGCCGTGGCTCCAGGCCTCCCTGCTGAGCCCACAACTTTCCCATCTCATTTATTATTGTTGTTGTTATTATTAGTATTATTATTGTCAGTCGTGGCACCTGAACTCTGGGTTTGGGCATTGCCCCTGGGCTCTTAGATGTGCAGTCTACCACTTAGCCACAGCACCCTTTCAGTTTTCTGGTGGTTAATTGGAGATGAGTCTCATGGACTTTCCTGCCCGGGCTGGCTTTGAACTGCGATCTTCAGATCTCAGCTTCCTGAGTAGCTAGAAGGATTACAAGGGTGAGCCACTGGCACCCAGCTCATCCTTTGTTTTTTGTTACCAGAGTTTAAACTCAGGCTTGCTTGAATGGCTGGCACTCCATCACTTGAGCCATGCTTCCAGACTTTTTGCTATTTTGGAGCTAGTCTTATGCTTCAAACCGCGATCCTTCTGAGTGGTTAGGTTTGTAGGTGTGACCCACTGGCACTGGCTCCCTCTCCAGTTCTTTTTTTTTTTTTTTTTGTCCAGTCATGGGGCCTGAACTCTGGGCCTGGGCGCTGCCCCTCAGCTCTTCAGCTCAAGGCTAGCACTCTACCACTTGAGCTGTAGGGCCCACTTTGGCTTTTTCTGTTTATGTGGTGCTGAGAATTGAACCCAGGGCCTCATGCATGCGAGGCAAGCACTCTACCACTGAGCCGCCTTCCCAGCCCGCTCAGTTTTTGTTTTGTTTCGGGATTTTTTGTTTTTTTGGGGGGGTCTGGTCGTGGGGCCTGAACTCTGGGCCTGGGCGCTGCCCCTCAGCTCTTCAGCTCAAGGCTAGCGCTCTACCACTTGAGCCACAGCACCACTTCCGGCTTTTTTCTTTTTGCTTATGTGGTGCTGAGGAATCGAACCCAGGGCCTCTGGCATGCAAGGCATGCGCTCTACCACTGAGCCACCTTCCCAGCCCTCCCTCTCCAGTTCTTGAGGCCCATCCATCCTTCTGAAAAGGCGAGTGTCGAGCCTTCTGAAAAACAGCCAGGCTGGGGCCTGGTGGCCCAGCTCCAGGGATGGAGCTGTGGGCTGGGTGGGGCAGCTGTGCGTGGGCAGGAGTCAGGACCGGCAGCCTCCTCTCCCTAGGCTCCTATAACCCCATGACGCTGGGCCTGTTCACCATCGTGTACTTCTTCCTGGCCTGCTGGACCTACGGGCTCACTGTGTCTGCTGGAGTCTTCATCCCGTCCCTGCTCATCGGCGCTGCTTGGGGTCGGCTCTTTGGCATCTCTCTGTCTTACCTCACGGGGGCAGCGGTGAGTCGGGGAAGTCTGCTGGGGACCACATCCCTGAAGTGCAGATCTTCCCACACACTCCACAAACATGCGTGCAGGGAGGGGCTTGCTGTGTGTCCCAGGCTGGCCTTGAAATCATAGCATCCTTCCTCAGCCTCCCTGGCACTGGGGTCACAAGTGTGCACCACCATTCCTTGCTCAGTTTTTTGTTGTTGTTGTGTTTTGTTTTGTTTTTTGTCGTTGGTCATGGGGCCTGAACTCTGGGCCTGGGCGCTGTCTCTGAGCTCTTCAGCTCAAGGCTAGCACTCTACCACTTGAGCTGTAGGGCCCACTTTGGCTTTTTCTGTTTATGTGGTGCTGAGAATTGAACCCAGGGCCTCATGCATGCGAGGCAAGCACTCTACCACTGAGCCGCCTTCCCAGCCCGCTCAGTTTTTGTTTTGTTTCGGGATTTTTTGTTTTTTTGGGGGGGTCTGGTCGTGGGGCCTGAACTCTGGGCCTGGGCGCTGCCCCTCAGCTCTTCAGCTCAAGGCTAGCGCTCTACCACTTGAGCCACAGCGCCACTTCCGGCTTTTTTCTTTTTGCTTATGTGGTGCTGAGGAATCGAACCCAGGGCCTCAGGCATGCAACCGTCATTCCTGTGTTACCTCCTGCAGATCTGGGCAGACCCTGGCAAGTACGCCCTGATGGGAGCTGCTGCCCAGCTCGGTAAGTCCTGGTTCTCACCACTGCAGAGAGGTGAGAGGGCAAGGGGCACCTGCAAAGAGGTGAGAGGGCAGGGGCACCGCCTCCCCGGGCAGGCTGTGCCGCCCCGCAGCGGGAGTCGGTCCTCCGTCAACGTGAGCAGAACAGGGCCGGGGATCGCAGGTGGCGGTGTTCCCCTTCCCCTCGGCCAGCCACTAGCCTTCAGCCAGGCAGTCACGGGCCTCTCGTTGGAGCTCTAGAGCCACAGGTGCATGGTGAGGCCTGCGGCCCCTCCCGCAGGTGGGATCGTGAGGATGACCCTGAGCCTGACCGTCATCATGATGGAGGCCACCAGCAACGTGACCTACGGCTTTCCTATCATGCTGGTGCTGATGACCGCCAAGATCGTGGGCGATGTCTTCATCGAGGTGCACAGAGCGGGAAGCCTGTCGGCCCCTTTACCCCTCACGTTGGCCTCAGCCTGGGGTCGGGGGTGCTCCGGGCTCGGGGGCCTGTGGCAGGCCCTGTGCAGCCACCCAGACGCCCTGGGGGCGCGGCCACGCTTCACCTGCCGCCCCTTCCTCAGGGCCTGTACGACATGCACATCCAGCTGCAGAGCGTGCCCTTCCTGCACTGGGAGGCTCCGGTCACCTCCCACTCACTCACCGCCAGGTACTGCCAGCAGCCTCCCCGCACCCAGGCTGGAGGGCCAGGTCTGAGGCTGCAGCTTGGGGGTGGGGGGTGGGCCATACTGGCTGCGGGTAGAGGGTAGGCAGGGAGGAGGCTGCGGGCCTGTGAGCGTTACCACTCAGTCCCTGCTGGGCTCCTGGCGCTTAAGCCTGCAGCATGGGGAGGTGGGGTGTTCTGGGGACCGCTGTTTGCTAGTGTGGCAGCGCCATGGCCCCAGCGCCTGTGCCCGCTGAGACGCATGGATGGCGGCGCGGCGGTGACGGGTGCCGGGGTCCTGGCAGGGAGGTGATGAGCACCCCTGTGACGTGCCTGCGGAGGAGGGAGAAGGTCGGCGTCATCGTGGACGTCCTCAGTGACACGGCCTCCAACCACAATGGCTTCCCCGTGGTGGAAGACACGGACGACACCCAGGTACCAGGCAGGAGAGCTTGTGCTGAGCGGACCATCCCGCCCCGCTCGCCCCGCTCCGGTCTGCGGAAGGCAGGGTCCCGCAGCTGGCACTCGCTTCGAGTGCCCCAGCCTGACTGCCGGGCGGCGTGGCCTCCGTCGGGATGTGGGGTCCGTGAATACAGCCTCACTGTGTCCCTTACTAGGCCTAGCCTGTGGGCTGCACTGGACATGGGAGTGGTGGCTGGGAGGGCTGGGGACACCCGTGTCTCTGTGTCAGGTTCACGAGACTGAGTAGGAACTAACTCACTGCAAGCCACTCAGGTGGCTCTCAGGGACCAGAGGATCGACTGAGGTCCTGACACTGGCATCCTGAGGCTGCTGCCCGCTGCCTCTGACCCTTCCTTCCCCACAGCCAGCCAGGCTCCAGGGCTTGATCCTGCGTTCCCAGCTCATTGTCCTTCTGAAGCACAAGGTGGGCCTGCTTGGTCGGGGCAGGGGAGGGTCTGGCCTTCCCACGGGCCCTGACCACCGCTGCCCACAGGTGTTTGTAGAGAGGTCCAACATGGGCCTGGTGCAGCGCCGGCTGAGGCTGAAGGACTTCCGTGATGCCTATCCACGCTTCCCCCCGATCCAGTCCATCCACGTGTCCCAGGATGAGCGCGGGTGCTCCATGGACCTGTCCGAGTTCATGAACCCCTCCCCCTACACTGTGCCCCAGGTACCCAGCCCCTCCTTATACCGAGCCCCGCGTACCCACCTGTGGGGTGGAGCAGGGCGCTGCCCTTTGGCAGGGGCTCCATGCCCAGTCCGCAAGGACAAGCCATGTGCCCAGAAGGCATCGGGGCAGGACCTGGGCTGGGGGTGCCGTGGCCCTTGGGAGCAGTAAAGCTTTGGAGAGGGTTAAGGCCTCAGAGAGGCCTGGTGGGGAGCGGGACACTCAGGACTCCTCTTCCCCACCTGGAGCTGTGGGGATCCCGTCCTCCCCTGGGGTGCGCACGCAGGCTGAGTACCACACCCACCTTGCAGGAAGCGTCTCTCCCTCGCGTGTTCAAGCTGTTCCGGGCTCTGGGCCTGAGGCACCTGGTGGTCGTGGACAATCGCAATCAGGTGAGGCTGGTATCCATGTTCCGCGTGGAGGGCCCTGGGACCCTGACCCCACAAGGGCTCTCACCTGACGTTGCTCCTGCAGGTGGTCGGGCTGGTGACCAGGAAGGACCTGGCCAGGTACCGCCTGGGGAAGGGCGGCCTGGAAGAACTCTCGCTGGCACAGACGTGAGGCCTGGCCCCTTGGTGCTCTGTCCTGGGGTCCTTGGTCTCTTGGCCAAAGCCTTACTTCCTGGGCAGCACAGCAGCAGGATCAAGCAGCCCCATCTCGGGTCTAGCTGGCCTGTGAGCCTGCCTTTCTTCATGGACGCGTGGTTTACATCCTTAGTACTTGCCCTGTGCCGCGGCCCCTTGGCACCCGCCACCCGTTCCTTTCCTTCCAGCTGTGTCTGGCTGCTGGCTCCGCAGAGGCCGCGGAGGGGCAGAGCGCGAGGCCGGCGAGCCGTGCCCCTGGCTGCTGCTGCTGTGGGACCCACACGCCAGCCACACTGCCCTCACCGCCAGAAGCCTCACAGCCAGGGCTCAAGGGTGACACAGTGCTCCGTGGGGAGCCCCAGGTGGCCCAGGCCCAACCTGACTTAGGTGATCCCAGGCCCTGAGGACAGGAAGATGGGGCCTGTGCCAGGGGCTGGGGCCCTAAGAGTCCCGCGGGCCGGAGGCTTGCATTTGAAGACAGCCAGGAAGACAGGTTCTCAGCACGGGGGCCGCGGTGTCAGCAGTGGCTCACCTCCGGCTACAGTGGCCACCAAGTGCGCACCACTGGGGTGATCTCCTGTGGCCTAGCACAGAGTGGCGCTAGTGTGGTGGCATGGGCCCGTGGATTGGCAGAGCTAGCCAGGCCTGGCCAGATAGTGTTCCTCGGGTCTCTTTTATGAACATGTGAGAAATTTAAGTCGGCTGGCGCCATCCCATTCCCTGCCTGGGGCCTAGAGGGTCAGGGCACTGGGCACGGTGGCACCAGGCGACGGGCCTCCTGTGGTGCCCGTGCAGAGCTCTGTGGGCAGGGGCCCCCACTCAAGGACCGACAGCCCCCTGTGGGCCCATGGCCTGCTCCCAGGAGCTCCCTGCAGACCCTGATCTCCACGCGCCCAGGCCAGCCCCCTCCCCGGGGAGGACCAGGTGTCGTCTGAGCCCTCATGGGGCGGGGAGGGGTCCGCGAAGCCTCTGCGTGGGAAGGGCAGCGAAGGGAAGGGAAGGAACTGCGCAGGGCCTCAGACGATTGGTACCAAAAAAGCACGTGCAATCCTGTTCATAGTTTTACGTCAGTCACATGTTGAGATGATATTTTGGATATACTAGGTAAATAAAAGGAGCTATCCAAACTCACTCGACCGTCTCCTGTCTCAGTGGCTTCTGGAACAGCTGAAGTCCCCAAGCTGCGGCGGCTGTGTGGCCACCTTGGGGCCCCTGCTTTCGGGGGGGGGCGGCCCTCGTCTCCCTGCTCCAGGTCTGGGCCCCCAGGACCTGGGTGGCGCCTGGGGTCCCCTGCCTGCGCAGGCCAGCAGCCAGGGCTCGGGGCGGCCCTTTGCCAGACGCTGCCGGAGTCCTCAGCCGCGCAGACGCTGGCAGTTGTGGAGGCACACTGGCAGGTCAGGGGAGAGCTCAGGTTCCACTGGCAGTTGGGCCATGAAGTCATAAGGTTCTGGTGAGGAAAGGAAGGTTCCAGAATAACCCTGCCGCCAGGTTGTACCCACCTCCCTTGGGATTCTCTGAGGAAGCCAGGTGTGAGGACAGGAAGCTCCCACCTCACTGCTTCGAGGCCCTTGCCCCCCCTGCTGACCTGCTCCCGACCCCCAGGGCCCCAGCCATCCTACCAGGCCCTACCAGCCCCTGGGGGGCCCCGACTCCCCACCCGGCCTCCCCTGCCGCCTCCCCCGGCCCAGCCCTTATCCTCTCCAGAGGCCCCCAGCCTTCTGCCTGACTTCGCTGCCTCCCTCCGGCCACTCCTGCCTGCCTTGGCCTGGTCTCCAAGGACAGCCACCGGCACTGGGCCCGGGCCAGGCCTGCAGGTAGGGGCTTCTGGTGGTAAGTCAGGCGAGCCGGGATGGACAGGGTCCATGGGACAACTCTGCTTCTGGGACCCCCACAGACAGCTAGCAGCTGGGAGCCCTGTCTAGTTCCTGCTGGCCACCTGTGCGTTCTCAGGGCCCTAGACTTTGCTGAGCCAAACCCCTGCCCAGCCCAGGCCAGAGTAAGAGGAGACACCCAGAGGTTGGGGTGTGACCCTTGCAGTTTGGTTCCTGTTACAGCGACCGGGCGTACCCCGAGAGCCCGCTCCCGAGGCGTCTTCTTACAGAGCTGGCTGGCAGCATGCTGTCGGGGATGTCGCCCCCGACACAGCCGAGCACTGTGGCGCTGGAGGACCTGGAGCTGCTCCTGGCAGAAGCCCTGACCAGCCCTGAGCCCTTGAGCCTGGAAGAGACTCCGGAGAGGTACGAGCGCAGCCACGGGGCACCCAGCTCCTCCGTCCCCAAGCCGGAAGCTTCCAAGTACAAAGGGCAGCTGGAGCAGTGGTGAGCTGCCTGCGGGGCTGAGGCGGGCCGAGCGGGGCTCCCTACCCCCGCCCCCGTCCCCTGGCGGACACAGCTGAGCCCGCCCGCTCTGGCCAGCGTGGCGGACCTGCAGGCCGACGTGGCCTGCCTGCGAGGACACAAAGAGCGCTGCGAACATGTCACGCTGGGCCTGCTTCGGGAGCTGCTGCAGGTGCGCACACGCCTGCATCTGCAGACCTCAGCGGTGCAGCAGCTGCAGCAGAAGGCACAGCAGGTGGCCCCGGCCCCGGAGAAGGAGGCGCCGGAGGTGAGCCTGGGGGCAGTGGCCCAGCTCCCTGCCCCCCACGGTGCACGGCTGTCCACCCACAACGCATGGCCCCTCTCCTGAGCACGGGGACAGCTCCCTGGACCCTGAGTCCAGCTGGGTCACTGATGCCAGGGTTCATAGCACCCCAAAGCCTTTAACACTGCCCCCCAGCACACTTCCTTGTGCTGCAGGAACTCGGGAGGCAACAAGCCAGCCTGCTCAGCTCCATGCCCTCTTCTTTGCAGTCCCCTGGGTCCCAGAAGGAGAACCAGATGCAGGTCCTGGAGAAAAGGTACCCCCCCCTCCTCTATAGGTATGGGCTTAGTGGGAAGTGGGGGCCACTAGCCCTGGGGTGCCCAGTCAGCTGTCTTCCTGCACGTGGTCCACCTTCTGCCCTGGGTCTTCCCCAGGCTGCCCTGGAAGGCAGCGGGGAGGCTAGCCGGGGTGGCTGTGCGACCTGCCCCGAGCCTGGCGGAGGTGACTCCTGTGCCAGGCTGGTGGAGGTCCGGGAAGCCTTGATGCAGATCCAGAGGACCCAGGCTCTGCAGAACTCGGAGAGGAAGGGTGTGGAGCAGGAGATGAACCTCAGGTGAGCCGCGGCCTCCCCACACTGGCCCTGAGCCACCCGCCTCGTGTACGTGTCTGGGCATGGCTGAACTAGCCACGGATGGAGTCCCACCCGCTGCCTCAGCACCCCCAGAGCATGCCCATCATCAGTACTGCGCTTGCGGGGCCCCTCAGGCCGTCTGTGGAGCCACAAGGCTTGTCCCGTCCTCAGTCTGCTTGGCATTGCCATGTGTTACCCAAGTGGTTTGTGTTTCCCAGCCCGTCTGCTTCCCTGGGGCTGGTATGAGTCTCCACCGTCCCTAGACTGACGCAGCTCACTGACTTGCTGAGGCACGAGGAGCAGAGCCGAGAAGTGGCCTGTGAGGCCCTGCAGAAGAGTCAGAAGGACACCAGCCAGAAGGTGGACCGCGAGGTGGCCAAGCTGCAGGTACCATGGGGGGGGGGGGCAGCTGCCGTGGCCGCCTCCCTCTCCCAGTTCAAGCCGCTCCAACCAGGCCAGAAAAAGGGATATCTGCTCTCTGAGCCCCTTCCACGGCCATGTTTGGGCTCAGCCTTTCCCTCCGGGTGGGTGATAAGTTCTGAGCTACCAGCTCCCTCCCGCTGGTGATCCCGAGGAAGGGCCTGCTGTACGGCGTGGGGCAGGGGACAGGGCCTACAGATGTGCAGCCCAGCTCCTGGGCTCTGCGGACAGACCAGGGATGGCAGTGTCTCCACCGTGCGTCCAGCTCCTCACGGGGCCAGGCCAGGAGCTCCCAGCCGCTCCCACATAGTTCTGCTGCCCAGAGCTGGTGGTGTCGGCTCACTGCCCACTGGGAAATCAACATATGGGCTCTCCTAAGAGGGCAGGGGTGTGGAGCTGAAGTTCCCGATGTGCTGGGTGTAGGCCCCGCCTGCCTTTTCTCTGAGCACAGGGGTGTGGAAGGGCTCGCTAGGACCAGGGGTCAGCACATGATGACATAGTGACTGTTTTTGTAAATAAAGTTTTATTGGCACAGAGCCATGAACATTTATAAATTATTTACCTTGGGGCTGTAGTGGTAAAAATGGGAGGTAAAGGTTTTAAGAGAGACCTTTGAAAACCTGAAGCCTTTGTAGTCTGGCTGCTGACCCTGCTCAAAGGCACTCCAATGGGCAGGAATGTCAGCAGGTGCTCAGATGGAGGGAGAGCCCATTTGCTCATGGCCCACACTCAGCACCTGGCCTTGGAAAAGAGGTCTGGAGAGAGAGTTTATGATACGGAGACGTAAAGAATATGGAATGGGATGGAGCCAGGCTATGGGATGGAGGCCCCCAAGCTTGTAGACCCTCTGGGGGCCCCAGATACGGAGGCTGTCATGCCCCAAGGAGGTTCTGTCTGTGGGCCGTCTCTCACCCGCTTCCCCGCCTGAGGCCAAAGCTCACGATGTGAATTGTGGCCTTCCTGAGGGCATCTGGAGGCTGATACACGCACCCAGGATCTCTAGACCTCAGGGTGTCCTGAGCTTCAGGCCCTTCCTGACTCCCAAGCTGGGTCCTCTGGGGAGTGGGGACTGTGGCCGCTGCCCCCCGCCCTTCTTGACCTAAATGTGGTGGGCCCAGCGCCACTGGGCACAGGAGCGTTAGGGGCCAGGCAGGCTGTCCCGCGGGGAGGCTGCAGGTGACCACGTGCCTGCCTCCCCAGGTCCTGGTGACCAAGCGTGGGGAGGAGATGAGTCTCCGCTTCCTCAAGAGGGAGGCCAAGCTGTGCGGCTTTCTGCAGAAGAGTTTCCTGACCCTGGAGCAGGTGGGGGCTGGGCTGGACGCCGGGAGGGGTCCAGGCTGGGATGGCCCCCTGCTGC